ACATGTGCCCACATCGTGTAAAAGTGAAAATAGGTTTGATTATACCTTTTTGCGTGATGCACCACTTCTCTTTTCTCTACACAACATTATTTTTGTCATTTGTTTATTTTACCGTGTATGCACATGTCCATGTGAAATAACATTATGCCTTATATATATTTGGATCATTTATCAGTCGAATTATTTTATGAAATTCTATCTTATCTTTCATGTTATCATATATTACGAGCATTTCATTCGATAAATAATTATTTGAATGATATTCTCATTAATTATGATCAATATATTTTGGATTTATCTTCATCAGATATATCGAAAAATGAAATGGATCTTATTTGTTCATTTCTACGACCAGAACAAATTATTGGATTAAAATTTGGTAAAACAAATTTTGATTTGGTCAATCGATTTCTATCGAGTTTTTCAAATCAACAATCATTTACTCGTCTTCGTTCACTTTGGATTGATCATACAATCATAGTTGATCAATTATTTATGTCAAGATTGGCATTAGTAATCAACTATAATAATCTCATTTCAATTCGTTTTGATCGTATTCATATTAGTAAACATTATACAGTATCAAAGTACTCATTTGATGCTCTTTCACATCTTGTTACAACTTCGAGCAATCAATTTCGACAATTATCTAAAGAAGTACCAACTCATTTGACATATTTACATATGTATTTTAATTCTCCTAATGATATGGATGAATTTATTCGTCCGAATATGTATCAACTAAAATCACTCGGTGTTGAAATTCAGTGCAATTTAAATGATTTCAATCAATTTATGTTACTTTTTAGCAATTATCAATGGAGTCAATTAATTGAATTCAATCTAAATTTCAATGGTAAATAACGAAAATTGCTCTATAATTTTTTCTTATAGAGAGATTTATTATTCATTAAAGTGCTCTACAATGAAAATATTCATCAGTCCCCTATGCTAATTTGTATTTAAAAAGTTTTGAAACTTTTTCAGAATTCTAATTACTCTTGTAAAAGTTATTTTGATTGAGAAAAAAAAATGCACAAGTTATCGAAATAATTTTGAGAAAAAAAAAATTATTTACGCTATAGAAAAACTAATGCAGTTAATACAGACACAGAATATATGATTAATTTAGTACATGTGTCGTTTCAAGGCTGTAATAATCATGAGTCACATTGAATACCTATCATGTTGTCGAAAATAGATGGCTTTTTTTGTTTAAATTGATTTAGTTTCTGTAGTTTTAAGAATTCAAACTAGTTAAGTGTATATCAAAATAAATTTATTCAATAAAAGAATTATTTTGTGAGTTTTAATCAGAGATCGAAACAAACTAAGAAAATATTCGATTCAATTCATACCAAAAGAAAAAAAATTTCTTCATTATAATGAATACAAATGTATCTAAATTCTTCATAATATTTTACTTGAGTTTTCATGTGTTTATATGATAAATCTATCGATTTAGAGATATTTGAAAAGTTCAAAGAAGAGTTACACATGTATTCATTCTTTGAGTAAACAAAACATTTATATATGCACATGAAAATCAAGGACGAAATAGAAAAGAATGTAAAGGTTAAGGAAGGTCAAAGAAAAGAGAATAAAGAGGATTAAGGAGTATATTATAAGAATGTACTGTAACAAATAGTTTCTGAATTTACATAATTAGCGTTGCTATAGGTATCATCTGCTTGGAGGAGGACATATATATAACGGAAAAAAGTATACACACAAATAGTTCGATTTGATTTTGAACTCTGATTTAAATCAACGATAAAAAACTGTAATCTTTATTCGTTCTAGCTTTGAACATTTACTTAATAGTCTTGTTTCAAAAATAGAACTCTCTTCATAGAGAGGGCTTGATAAATTTTCGATCAGTAACAAAAATGAATAGTTTCAGTGGAGCTCATACGTGCAAGTTATAAATGATCATTAAACTACGAAACAACATCGTCCTATTAAAATAAATATCATCAATCGATACAACAACAAAACATATTCATGAAAAGTGTTGTGAAATAAATTAATCGTTCAGTAAGCTTTGAAGCATATCACCCTTTCTCTCCACAAACTTCCACATATACTGCATAGTTTGCGTACATTTATATTTTCAGTTGTTTTTCTTTTTCTTTTTCTTTTTTTTTATTTATTGTATTCTGACTCTACCGAATCAATAATATTACAGTTCTACTGGTTGACACCTGCAATAAGATACTTGCATTGTATTAAATAGCAAAACTCAGAATTTAGCTCCGACTTAACATTTACAGCAGAAATCTTAACTTTATAGAATGGCTTGAAAGATTCTAGAAGGTCCCAGCATGGTCTAAATACTGCTATTACCGACGCACTTTTCCCCTTTGCTCGGATAATATATTCAATTATTGTTAGCTTCAACCCTTTCCTCTCTTCTCAAAAGAAACACTCGATCACTGTTGATTTTTACTTTCACCCTCTTCCCGTTGTAGTGGAGACACGCTCAATAACATTTTCCTTGTCTCATCATATCCCCAACTTGAATGACCTTCCAGAGGGAACAGAGAACCTGCGATAACTAGGATCTGAACTGATGCAGGCCATGCTCATGGATAACATACACGAGTTCTACAAATGGCTTACAACATTTAGTTGTATATATGAACTCCTAGGCAAAACAAATGAAAGTCTATGAACATAATGATAAATTCCATAAGAGAGAAAAAGATTTCTTAGAAAAGCATAGTGACTATCGTCGAACAATCAGAAAACAAAACATCTTTATTCCAATAATCAACATTTCTCACAATGATCGCTGATTATTTAATAGCAAATATAAAGCTTATAAGTGATATTATAACTGACAGTATTTTGTATTGTGATAAAATACATCAATCAAATAATCTTTTTTAGTTAATTTCAATTATGTTCTTGTGTAGTTCTCAAAAACTTCATCGAACATTTCTTTTTTTATTTTTCAGTTGAAACTACTGTTCGATTTTGGATGTTGAAAAGAATATTATCGACAATGTGTCGACTAAAATATTTGAGATTAATCCTGAGCAAACCATTAACAACGGATAATAATATATTGAATGGAATGCAATGGAAATCATTTCTTTCAACATCATTCATTTTTTTGAAAACATTTAATTTTAAATTTTCTATTCAACAAACATCCGAACAAGATATATATGATCTTTTGAATACATTTAAATCAAAATGGTGGTTAAAAAAGAAACGATGGTTTGTCGAATATGATGCTCATCAAAATGTTCTCATTACTGTACCTTATTTTGCATCAAAAACTTTTAATAATCATCGTTCATATTCATTTGGTTTTATTCAAAATCTTGAAATTTTTTATTCTAATATCAATTATTTGAATATTGATTTACATAAGTATAATGAATTTGAACAAATATTGTCAGTATCTCAATCCGTAGTTCAACCACGTTTTCCTCATGTAACACGACTCTCATTGAATGGATACTTAACAACACATGTTTATGATAAAATTCAAAATAATATTGATCTTAGTATGATTAAACATTTTGAATTTTCATCAACTATTAATACTACCGAAACTTTGATTGAATTGATTAATAATATGATTAATCTTTCGTCGATTCATATTCAATATTTACATAGTCTTGATCTATTTATTGAACCTTTATCACCAAATCATTCTATTCGACATCTTGTTCTATTCGATTATGAACCAACAACAAGAAAACAACTTTTCTATCATATATGTCGACTTTTTCCACGATTAACTCATTTGACAATAGATTATCATTCACGAGAAGAGTTCTGTTATTTATTAAATGAACTCGCTTATCTTGAACAGTTCACATTGCGTTTGACTAAAGATCAAGATGCACCAAATTATGGTTGGATCAAGCAATATAGTAGACTGCAAATGAATGCATTTGAATTGAGGATATTTAACATGACTCATAAAGGAAGACAACTAGTTTTGTGGATTAACACAACTAATAATATGGAAGTTCATCGTCATCGTCAACATCATAAATTCAAAATGTGTTCTGTTCAATAACTTATTTTAATTTACTTTCTTTTCATGTTTACGATTTTAATATGGATTTTTGATGAAAAAAAATTGGACATTAATTGTTGAAATTTATAGAGACATAAAAAAATAAACCGCTTTTTATTCGATATTGAAAATTAGAAATAAATAATCAAGGTATAGTGCTTGTTAGTTAACTATCAATAAATAATTTACGATCATATGACTCTGAAGAATAAAATGCTCGTTGTTTTGGTAATCAATATACCGAAAACAGATTCTCGTGTTTTAAAATTTACTGCAACTCTCTTGGTATTGCATTTTTCGGTACATTGAAAACTTTTACAGTACACCGTAATTCTGATTGAAAATTTCTCATTTTTTGTATTCAAGACAGAAGTCTGTATTTCTTGATGGAAAATAGAAAACAATCTACACGTTAAATAAATGATAAGGAAACGGATAAGAAAAGATGATTAGTAGTAATATATTGTTAATATTTCAAATGATAAGAAATTGCATGTTTCAATGGATGTTCATCAAGAAAAGAGTTCTTTTTTTTGTGGTAAAAATAAACATTCATATCCATCTATACAACAGTCTCTTCTATACATGATAAAATAGTATTAAGCTATCGTGAAAACATTTTGATGAATCTGTCACAAAATATGGACAATGATTAATTCATGTATCACAGCTTATACAAACTTATGTACGCTAATAACTATGATTTTAGTGTAAGACAAAAAGTTTAATCGTTTTTTTTATTATTTAAATTTAAAACTTCAAGATTAGCTTATTATTATCTACGAAATAAAGAAATATTTCGAGCAAAAAAGAATCAATAACAAAAAAGGTTCATCATGTTTTTGCTTACTAATATTTCAATTTCTATTGAATAACTGTAACTGTGTATAAGTAGATTCGAGCTATTTTCACGCTTAACAACAATCGTTTGAAGTATTCCTAACTGAAAAAGAATTATTTAATTGTACAACTCTTTATCTTCACTATTTGAAAGTTGGTCTGTACCATAAATGTTTCATTACTCATATAATAACTGTCTTTACAATTAGACATTGAAATATTTATTTACAAACATAAAAAACTACTAATATAGAAATTGCCTAAAACTTAACAAGAACAGTTAAGAACTAATTCTCATAAAACATTGAATCTTTTGTCTACAAATTGGACATGAACTAAGTGCATATCCACATGGAACACAAGCACATAAATGTCCACAAGGCATACATGCTAATTGTTTTTCTTCAGTAAGACATATAAAACATTCACCTAATGATTGTTTCAATGATTGAGATGAACTATCGAACAATTGTTGATATTCTGATGGAATTATTAAATTATCTGAAGAACCTTGAATAATATCAATTTGTTTTTGAAGAATCGAACAAGCCATTGTTAAATCAATATCTGTTTGAAAATCATCATTTTTGATTTTAAATTGATCTTCAATACAACGCTTAATTATTGCTAATGAATATTGAGAACGAAGATGTTCAACTATAGGTAAATCAAGTCTTGATTTAACTAAACGAGTAAGTTGATCTTTATTTATTTTATTTTCTGCTAAAATTAGTTTTTTTTTTAATGTTTGAATTCTTTGATATAATTGATTTCCACATAAATGTTTAGCATAAGTACAATGAGGAAACCATCGAGCATGTTCAATCATAGGATTATCATTTGGACCCCATTTATGTAATGAACCATTACAATAAAAACATGTTACTGAATTATCAATACCAGCACAAAAGAATCCGGCACGAACGAAACTTTCAATACTTGGTAAATTTTCTTTCCAATTATCATTAGAAAATGTTTCTTCTCGACGAGATATTTTTGCCATTTGTGGATGAGATGGCTGAAATTTTTCTTCAAGTTTATCAATGATTATTTTTGGTGAATTATTTTTGAAGGCATTAAAAGAACAAATGGACATTGTGGAGCAATTCTTGTATGAACTTCAGCTGGATCATCATTAATTGTCCATTGATAACAAATTGTATTACAATATATACAAATAACTCGATCATTAACATTACATGAAAACCAACCAGCAGATGCCATTGATTCACTATTTGGTGTAAAATGTGACCAATGAGAAAGACTACGAATTTGAACTTCTTGTATTGTTTTTGATTCATTTAATGAATATTTCTTTTTTTCAATAAGAAATTCTTGTTTTGGAATATCTATTTCTGAAGTGAGAACTGTTTTCTGTTTTTCTATCTTACTTACAGAGGAGCAATCACTATGTAGATAACATTGTTCAGTAAAGTCTCTAGTTTGAATAATGTCAATAGTAGCCATGTTGATATAGTTCAATAAAGTAATAATGAAATGATGATAAGTTTCATTTTTATAGTATTTCAATCGAGATATGTGTTGGAAACTACCCAACATCATTGGTTTTTTTTTCAATCGAACAGTGTGCAATGGAGAGAGAAACGAACCTTTTTTATTTCTCATGTGTCGTTGTGGTCTTCAACCCAGTTGAAGAACAGAAAAAAGAAACTTACCCATGATGTTTTTTATTTGCTTTCTGACGAAATATTATATATGTAGAGCTATATAACTTTTTTTTCCACTTTTACATGGATGAAAACTTTCAGTTTCGATTATTGTCCATATGACAGAAATATTCTTCCTATAAATCAATAGTTTGGAAGTTGTTTTCAAAAATTTTGGAATTTTCTTGAATATTAACAAATTAAATTGAGTTGCTATTGCTGTTCTTTATTGGCTTTAGAATTCCTTTTTTTTTTCAATTTAATTTGACATATTTGCAGAAATAAAAGTATCGAATTGTTCATCAAGAATATTTTTCACTATTGAGACATAGAAATATTATCTACAATATACTATTTCAAGATTTGATTTAGTTAGACTTGATCAACATGAATGAATTTAGTTTGCATTATATGATTTTAATGTAAATATATGTCGACAACATTTTTGTTATGTCTATTCTTTACAGACTTTGGTCAAAAAAACAAAGATTAATTCTCAATGCAACGAAACACGAAACAAGAATAACATATGACGAAGCGTCTATAGTTGTTCTATTGACACTTTTTTGCTGCTTTGTATACCTATAAACCGATAACTAAAGCTCATTGCCAATAAAGCAATAAAAAAAACACAAGTAAGAAGAATCAAATTACTTGATTATTTTGCATTTTATCACTTCATCTATGAATGAAATAGGCACCAAGAAAAGATTTTCAGTGGATTCAAAAATCAGCGAACATGTTTTGAACTGAAATTTTTTTGATTAAAACCTATGCTACTTATTATTATCATTCAAATTAAAAATTTTCTTCAGTTCTACATATAACATAGTTAAACAAAGATTTATAGAAAAATAAGTTTGTTCAAAATCAATCTTGTTAACTTGATTCACTTTACTGATGTTGAAATGTTAAAATATTGAAAAATAGAGGATGTGGGTGTGAGCATGATTCGAAAATAGAAATACACACCGATCCTCAAGCACGAAAAAAAAAACGATTTCAGACAGTTGTTATTCAATGGTCTCTCGGTGTGTCAAAAAAAAACAAATTACAGAAAGCATTCATACAAAATCGCATTAGTACTCTTAAAAATAGATATAAAACATATGTATAATACAAGTTAAATTTGCTCATTAAGGTTCTTTCTGTTTATCATCTTTTGCTCTTTGTTAAAACTTTTTCTTTTCCTAAAAATAAAATTCTATAAATGAAATAAACATATTGTTTCTTTTTTCATTAATTGGCAAATAATTTGTCTTTTTCCAATGTTAGAATTATTCGGCATATATCTTATTTGTATACTTTCTGTTTAGAGGAAGAAAAGACACGAGTATCAAAATCAATATTTTGATAAGATTATTCATTGAATTTCGATGTCTATTGTCATCAATGACAATGAATTCTGAAATGGGAGAGACAATTGTAACATTGTATAATAGATATGATGATAATCTAATAAATTATTTAACGTAAATGGATAAGATGAGTCATTCGTAATGCCAGAGGATTGTCCATGTTCAGAAGAAATAATGAATAATTGAAATTTTTGAAATACAGACATGTTTAAATCCTCCTCAAAAATCCTTCTTGATCAAGTTATATTCAAATTACATTGAGTTCTCAGAATCTATTGGGGCTATAGTGCAGAGACTGTTTTAAAATATTCAGCTCTATACCATGGTGTTTTCGGGAGATATTTAACTAAGAAAGGTCAAAACTAGCTTATTTAGTATCCAAAATTACTTATGAGCCTATATTCTATAGACTTTGTGTTTTTTTTGGAACGAAAAGTTTAATGCTTTGAAAAACTCTTCAAAAATGACGCTTTAATAATAAAAGTACTCTTTAATATAACAGTAGCATAGCTGAATTCAAAAAAAAGGGGTCTCTGTCATATCCTGCATTTTGATATGCTCGTCCGAACAAAAAAGGTCATTGACAAAAATGAAGCTTCTTAAAGAGTTCTTGGATGCGCAACTAAAACACCATACACATAGAAAAAGCGCAAATAGTTTTCAGCTCTCTCAGGAAAAGTCATACTTTTCAAGCAGAAAATGACGCAAGTTTTAGGAAGGAACGAGGTGCCAAATAAGAAATCATACCATTTATGAAGAATTAGACACCAGACTAACTTCATATGCACTTATCTCGATTAGCATGTTTTTGACGAATATTAACTGTTTTTGAAAAAGAAGCTCAAATAAATTTTGAATACAAATTGGGTGGGTGTGGGTGTGAGTGTGGGTGTGGGTGTGGGTGTGGGTGGGTGTGTGGGTGTGGGTGTGGGTGTGGGGTGTGGGTGTGGGTATGGGGTATGGGTGGGGTGTGGGGTGTTGGTGTGTGGGTGTAGGTGGGTGTGGGGTGTTAGTGTGGATGTGTTCCTGCTCGTCTCATAACAGCACTCACACCTCCACACCAGCACTCACACCCCATCCCCACACCCACACCCGCACCCACATCCACACCCCACGCCCACACCCCCACCCCCACCCCCGCCACCACACCCCACACCCATGCCCACACCCACACCCGATCGACATGGCAATCTCTATGTCGTCGATTGTTGGAACAATCGCGTTCAATATTTTTCAATTGAATAGACTCATTACGATGGATTATTTTTTTCTTCCCTTTCCTTTCAAATAAATCACGTTGAATTGATAAGAACAATGCTTATTCTATTCGCGCGCGCGACCAGGGACTATCCTGGTGGCGCCGTGGGAAGCGTAATGCTCATGCACGCACGGGACAGACTCATATCATTCGCATCCCTCCCCTCGAGAGATGTGTCAATGACTCTGGAGAAACCCGATTGTGTGCCACGAACGCCAAAGTAGTTTCTAGCCGATACTTTAGGCCTAAGTCGAGAAAGCCTGAAAAATAACAGAGGTCTAACCTTAATGGACATGAATTACCCCTCTCTCCACTAACACTTTCTATGCCAAGACTCGTCTTAAACACGCTCAATCCTTCTCTCTTCCTATTCCTATGTAAAAAAAAGACACAATTACTCATTACGTTTGATGTTGCATATCAACCGGCTCGACAATTTTGACTTCGTGCCGACTCAAAGAAAAATACGTTATTCGAAAGAGCTCGAAAAACTGAGTATGATAATCTAATTTTCTCGAAGAGATACTCCCAAGTCCCCAGCAAAAATTTTTAAGAAAGGTATCTCAGTGAGAGTTGTCATTAGTCCTTTGTTCTCTTTCTACATTTGTCTTTTTTATTCTACATGCAAATATGTTCATATATAGAAACGTTCGCGTATGACTTATACATGTTGAAGAAAAGAAAAAGAAAATTTCAATCATCATATTTCATTTACAAAAATTATTTGAATAATAAAAAAGATTTCAAGAAGATGCACTGCTGCTCTTAGGATAATATTCAAACAAAATTAAAACGAATTACTTTAATAACATCCGAAAATTTTCCCAAATTAATATCCAGACATTAACTTTGAAATATTGAAATATTTATTTCGAATGTTGTATCGATGCATGTTATTGTTTCAAAATTATTCTCTTGAGTTCTTTCTACATAAGGAAAGTTAGCATCGGATTCGAGTCTTTCCACCCTCGATTTGCCTCTGGACTCGTGTTAACTTTCTAACCGGTTGTGTTAGATGCAGAATTTTATTCTCTATCGATGAGTACTATTCCTGGTAGGGATCATCGGGCAAAAATATGGAGTTCCTTCTAAAATACTAACTTTTCTCCCATATGCTCATAATAACAAAACAATATTTCTGCCCCGGATTCGCTCCATGACTTGTGTTAACTTTCCAATGGGTTGTATTAGATGGAGAATATCATGCTCTATCGTCTGGTATGATTTTCGATAGGGGTCATCGAGCAAAAAGTGGGAGTTTCGCCCAAAATTCTGGCTCATAGATAGGGTGTAGGGATGGGTGTGAGGGGTGGGTTTGGGTATAGGTATGGGGTGTGAGTATGGGTTTTGGGTGTGGGTATACGTATGGGTCGGTTTGGGTAAGGATGTTGATTCCCCCTTCACTCACACCCAAACCCACACACCATACCCCACACTCACACCCACAGCCACAGCCATAGCTACACACCCACACTCACACCCCAAATAAGCTGATATCATTAGTGGCCATAGTTTGAAAAAAAATCAGCTCTCAAGTCCTTGTAGTTCAGGAGTGGGAGAGGCATTTGGGTGCAAAATTATTGGGTGGGATTGCTAAAGGTCTATCTTAGGAAGGTACCTAATATCCTTGAGAGTCTATCTATGGAAGGTACCTAGGACTTAGGATGGACACAATGCTCTTCGGATCATGTGTATTGCGCCAAACAAATCTTAAAAATGAATTGTTCGATCAGATCAGTCTCCGCTCAAAGAACTTTTTGACCAGTTCTTTAGTTCTTTCGAACCGAGTTCATGAACTTGAGCTGGTCGACTCCTAGCAACAAAAAATTTGCGTTTCAAAGTAATTTTTAGCCACTCCGTGCATCCTTCCTAGGGATTGCCCTCCAGAAACTTTTTTCAGAATACATAGCTAGAAAACTTCAAAATACAAAATTCATGAGATAATAGTTTGGCATTATGTTGAAATGCAAAAACAAATATTACTACTTGATTTATCGTGATTAATTATCATTCCTTAGACCCATGTTTTAGTGATCTATAGCTGAACGTTCCAAACCGAAAGTCTCTGGAAAACTCTTTCACTTTCTAAACGGAGTAAACTAGAATCGTCGGGGCTTTGCTGAAATCAAACAAGAACAATTTACTCTATCAAATAAACATATTACAGATCAAAATCGGATCATAAAATTCTTATTAAAGTTTTCTATATTACCGGATTATGATACAATTTTATACTTTCAAAGTTTCTATTTCATATTCTTATGGAAATTTATTCATAAAATAATAATGCGCCATTTATTTTGAAATGAATAATATGTTTAAGAATGAAACTAATTATTAATCTTTGCTGCAATCTGATTAAGTATAAGTGCTATACGTGGATCAATGATTGTTGATGGATCCGTTGCAATTCGATTCATAACATAGGCAAAAGTAAGATTCTTCGACGGTGCTGCAAAACCAATACTTCCACCAGCTCCTATAGAATTCATTAAAATAAGATTTATTAGTTGATCTCTTTGTTCATACCATGATGGCCAAATACATCTGGACCAAATGAGGGCAGAACATAATCATATCGATGAAAACCCATGGCAAATTGTGAGTAATACTGAAATACAAGATCTATCTCATTTGGAGGTGTATTAGACTTAATTGCCAGTTTCAAAATGTCATCATTTAATAATCGTTGTCCTGATTTATCTTTGATATTTCCAATGAATGCTGCATAGAGACGTGCAATCGAGCGAGCATTTGATATTCCAATCGCAGCTGGTATTTCTGCTTGATGTATCTTAGGATCATTCCATATATCAAATAAAGTTAGCATTGTTTCATTCAAAATACTTTTTGATTGTAATTGAGGAACAACTGGTGATACGCGATATTGTAGGTTAGGTGGTAAACCAATATAAAATTCTATCTGTGTACGACCTGCTATTTCATCTTGAATAAATTGTCCAAATGATCTTTGTTTTGGATCTACACGACGAACAAGTTCCCCAACAAGCCATCCATAAGTAACTGAATGATAGCCATGAGTCGCTCCAGGTATCCATAACGGTTTTTGTTCTTCTAATGTATGAATCATTGCTGTCCAATTAATATATTGATAGATGGGAGATGATACATATGGAAGTCCGGCACGATGTGATAATATATCAGCAACTGTTGTATTTTCCTTTCCATTTTGACCGTATTCTGGCCAATATTCAGTAACTAATGATGAATAATTGAGTAATCCTCGCTGAACACAAATTGCAGCAGCCATAGCTACAATACCTTTTGTTGTTGAATATACCAGTTGTAATGTATTATCATCATAAGGTTTCGTTTGTGATTCATCAAACCATCCACCTCTAAGATTTACTACTAAATCACCTTGATGATAAATCGCTATAGTTGCACCTAAGTCTTCTTCTTCTACGAAATTTTTCAAAAACAAATCTCGGACAAATTCCCATTGATGAGCAGTTGTTCCGGATACATTATAATCGATAAAATCATCACAAAATACTATTGAAAGAAACACTATTGAAATCCATATTGAATAGACCATTATTTCACGTTACATCAGATTTCAAAATAACTATACTCATCAGAGAATAGAGAAGCGGATTATAGATAAATCTTCAATGAAAATGTCAAATAGAATACAAGAAAAGAATATTACAAATTGTAAATGTTAACAAAGTTGTTAGAGAGAGGTGCATATTTGCAGTTTTATTCTCTAATCTTTTTTACTGTTTATTTCATGAAAAGCAAAACATATATATCCCCCTGGCCAGAAATAGTTGGACTCGGTATTTTGAATAAATTATCATTGTAAATCAACATTTTGGGAAAGTAATTCTACATTCGGATAGCTGGTGCAATTCTCTACAACTCTATATACGTAAGTTTTGAATTGCACTTGTTCGCTAAAAATAAATTTAAGCACAATAAAGGCACCCTCATCGTCAGATTTCCTAGAAATGCATTTTTTGTTTCTTCATCTATTTCAAATTCATTTTGAATATAGAAACATGTTATCACAAAAGTAAGTATATATTCTGAAAGCGCATGAAATTCTCTATCATCCTATATATTTATGTCTTATCTTGCATTTATTTGTTGCAACAAATGAATGCAAGGCAAGACATACATATGGGTTAATTGCAACTTTATTCTAACGTTTCATGAAAAAATGGCCGGAGAATTTTTTTCGATTTTCAAATAGATGAATAGTGCATTGTACAGTACCATATGAGAGAAGAATATAATTGAAGTTTCCCGACTACCACTATGAGTTTGGCTATGATACACGAAAACCGCGCAAAAAACACATGAGATCTACTAAAATATGGTTGTTTTGCCTGGATATATTAAACTTTCAACATACGGAAGTTTTGTCAAATATATTAAAAAATTTTATAAATTATGGCGATACATATATGTATTATGCGGAACCACCTTTAGTTTCACTTGATTAGAGCACTTTATCCGATTAATAATCTCGCGTGACACCTTCCTCATAGAAAATCTCGCGTGTTGGTGGGGTGTGGGTGTGGGTGTGGGTGTGGTTGTGAGCGAAGAAATGAGCTAAACTCACACTCACACCCACACCGATATACCCACACCCACACCCATCCACACCCGCACTCACCCACACCCGCACTCACCCACAGCCGCACTCACCCATACCCGCACTCACCCACATGCACACTCTGTCGACTTTGTTTTTCTAATGCGTTATTCTTGTCAGGGCAAAATCGCAAGGATTAAAACCTACTCAATCGTCCAACTCCGATCTCCTTACTTTGTGCAAACATCTGTCAACTTGTGTAAGCCTGTGTTCATCATGTCCAATGCTGATAGAAAAGTACTTAGCATCAATACATAGAGAATTTTGTGCTCTGTGCTTCCACGATCTTTTCAAGATTTCTATTGCTGTCGTTCATGAGAAAAAAGGCTTGAATCTAAACCTGACGATATTTTTGGAAGCAATTTGGAAAATTATGTTTTAAAAAGATAGATTTACTTTATGAAAGGTTCATTATTATGCCGTCAGATATAGAATTTAATGCTGAACAAAATGATTTAACGGTTGAATTGAACAACGCAGACATTTACGTTGTTCTGAACTGAAAAGGAACCAGCATAAAAACCTTTCAGAAAAGAATCTTTTACCAAGTCTTCACGTTGTTCTACTTCAAAGGTTTTTCTTCCAAATATTTCTTCAAAGACTGAAACATCCATCAAAAGTTGCAGAATTCCATGGGAGATCTTCGGGCATATTTGACATTTAAGCGGAACTATTATTTAAAAATCTTTTGCGTTTTCACCATTACAGTTGGACGATTGAGTAGGTTTTAATCCTTTCGATTTTGCGCTGACAAGAAAAACTTATTAGAAAAACAAAGTCGACAGTTGTGTAGAGTGAAAAATTCTCTATTGAGTGAGCTTAAAATGGAGCCTTTGAACTATGTTTCTGTTTTTCAGAAAAATAAGAATAAAAGTGTCCCATTCTTTATGGGTCGCCCGCTATATTATTTATTTTAATTGATGCAATAGGTAATGTAAGCACAATGTTAAGTTATGAGCAAGGTTGAAATGTAAGGAACATGCTGCTTGTGCCGTCTGTCCGATCAGGGAAGCTTAATGCCGCGTTCATCGTTTTCACCGACGATTCCAGAATAATGCACACCGTTCTTTTCCCACACGATGCAAAGATATTTGCGTGGCCCGCATGCTGGATCTCCCACCCAATCATTAGTTGCAAAAAACGTTCTCGTGCCCGTTTCATAAGCTTGTCCAATAGCAGTCGTCGCATTGCGTGTTTCGTTCCACACGCCATATACTGCGTGCTTAATGGTAACGCTCATATCGTTTCTTCGCTGTTTTTCAATGAAGCTTGTGATGACACTCTCTCAGCGCCGTGTATGTGCACTAACCGATAACAACGAACAATTTACCACGACTGCATGCACGCAGACAGAGCTATATAGGGAGACGGGAGGAAGAAAAAGGGAGAATAGCAAAACGGGGGTGCGACACATACGTATTAGGGATCAATCAGTATTCGCCTCCGATGGTTTATCAAGCTGGAATTTTTAGATCAGATTCCGAGGTCGATCAGTAACCGAACAAGGCAACGGAAAAAATTTCTCGCGTTGTTTTGGATATGTCGCTACAATCAACGCGAACTGGCTTAGAACGTGACTCAATACCCAGTTCATATCATATAAGCAACAGTAAGAGAGTAAAGCTCTCGGATAAATCCGGAGTGTTTTTGTCTTAAGGTACGTGCCTGGATAAAATCGAAGATTTTTAAATATCGCAAAACATTATGTGATTCGCATTTTGCATTCGATTCCCTTGGAAGATAGCACACCTTGTAGCGTACTCGAATCCAAAAGATTACGATCGAAAACCTTGTTTCTCATTGACTAGGCTTAATTAACTGATTGCATCCTTATCTGACACCCGCAAAATTGGCTGTTTTGGATAGGAATCGCCCAAGGGAGAACAAGCGGATTGTTTTGATTGCGCAATCCAGGAAATCACTTTGCAATCTCAGAAATCACTTTACAATCAGAGCAATCATGTAATTCTTTGCTTCAGCGAAGAGTACAGAACTGGTGATGGCAATGGGTTTCAACGTGAAACAGTTCTAGAGAGCGTGGTTCATTCGTTCTAGCATTTTTCGTTAATGAAAACAAATACGAGAGTGTTGTAAATGACTCTTTTGACTATTTTTTTGATTCTGTATGGCGTTCTATCGTTCACGTTGAAATTGAGGTTCTTTCTCTCCCTCACTCTTTCTTCTATTGTTCGACTCTCGACAGAACGGAGTAGAAGTGTTTACTTTGCCGTCATATTGTCATCTTTTGTCACACTTCGTTCTTATCGCCCCATTGTCTATTCCTTCTCATCGGTCTCGCTTTTCTTGATGTCGCCTAATAAGATCCCTATAAACATGAAAGAATGTCCTGCTGATGTTTTTAAGTATCGAGAAAATCAATGATACAATCTTGTACGTCGCATTACAAGAGAAGATGACATCATCAAGCTTCTTAAATTCTTCATCACAGAAGTCCGTTGATCTTTCTTGCCTATCACAATCCACTTGAATTTCTCTATCGTGATGCGGAAGTTCTTTTACTGATCCAAGAGAAGTGATGTGTCAAGTTGATCGATTCGACGTATGTTTCTCTGCCAGGTATCTAAGCAGCACTTGATATGTTGCGCGCAATGCTTTCCGATCGGCATGGTCAATATTACTAGGAACAGAAGGAGACTGACAATAAGGCCAATAATGATGTTGCCTTTCCTTCTCTCACTTTCCCTTCTAGGTCTTCTCTTCATCAAAGGACAACTGTTCGAAGAAGTTCTGAAGTCGTGCCTTGTCTGTTCCAAACATCCGAGTATCTTGACCGCTCGATGCGCTCGATGTCTGGGCACTCGTCATTCGTTGTAAACTTTGGTGCCTATGAATTTCTCTATCGAGGAAAAAAAAAGTTCAAAGTTCTCGAGGCGATCAAGAGTGGCCCAACTGGTTTAGACCCAGGAAAAACTCCTATATTTCCAATCTATCATCAACTTTCGAAAGACGCTCGAGCGATACCTTTTCTCATTTACAGTCCCATTCATCTCTCGACAAAACTCAACGAGCAGATCGTTCACCGAATGCTTGATGAAGCACTTCGACTTGTCTCCTCTCTCGATCTGTCCGAACTGATGGAAGATGGCCAAAATATGTCGCTCATTGACCTCAGTCTTCTCGTCCGACGTCATCTTTCCTGATCAAAAATTCAAGACTATTCAGGCCAAACCAATGAGGAGGAAAACAACGGCTAAAGAATTCGGGTAGCACATCTTCAGAAACGGAGAATGAAGAAGTGGAAGGTGACAACGATAACGAAGTATAACTAGAGGACAACATGTATGATAGCGACGAGGTTGAAGATTAGTCAAAGATACTCTGCAATATCAAAACTATTATCCATTTTTAAAAAAAAAGGCGCTTGGGGAGAATGCTTATAACTTGTGAAGGGAAAGTGATAGAGACCTGTGGTTTTCATTGTTGGATAGAGCACAGCAGTGGACGTAGTACTATGAAATAATCAGGCCTTCAGGTAAGATTTACCATGGTAATTCTTTGAACGGATGTCACTTTTTATCTAGTTAACGCTAATGAGGACCCAAAAATTAGAGAAAATTAGAGATGAATGTTTAAAAAAACATTTTTTACTCTATGGCGCTGAATTTGCAGTCTACTGCTATAGTATAACCTCTTTTGAAGCTGATTCAGCTGACTCGAGTTCAAAGACGTTTCCCAAACTCCAAATAAACAACGCCTCGATATTCAGGGTATCTGCTAATCTAACTGTCGAGCTTTTTCGGAATTTTTGCCTGTGTTCGAATAGGAGTAGATACCTTTGCGAATAATACCTATAGCTCCTGAGCTGTAAAAGATACAGACCTGGGGCTGATCTAGAATTGTGGATCTCGATCCGGGCTATTAACTTCACTATTTGGAAATCAAAACCGGACATACTCTCAGGGAATGGCAATCTC